TAAGTCACCTCGTGAATGCAGCCTTCTCCCTGACAGCTAGTTGAGCTTCAGGTGTCCTCCAGTAAGTCCTCCGAGGGGTAGGCCGACACGTTTCAAACATCAGCATTCTGCGGTAGCACCGAATCTGCTATTTGTAAAGTGCTCCAGTCGGTTTCCGCATCAGCCGTCATCACTGAGCTATGTTCGAGCCGTCGTGCGGCGTCGTTCGCAAGTTTAGCTCCCTTATGTGCTGAAGGCAATGATTCCCATTTGACTCCCTAGTTACTTTACTCGCCAGGTCTTCGCATGGCACTCCGTCGTTTGCAGTGGGGGGTGCCAACAAGATGATGATAATTTGATAGCTTTGCACCTCTCTTAACGCGAACGTCCATTACATATTGTCGCAAGCCAGACGATGCGATTATCGAAGTCATCGTCGACTTCGGCGCACAAGCTTCCCAATGCCCGATACATTGATGAACGCTTTGATGCTCGAAGAAGGTGTTCATAATAGACAGGCCGTTGTTTGCACAAAGCCGCAACAACTTAAAGCCGTCATTGTCTTGGTCGATAGGGCTATCCCTTCCACTTACGACTTGCCGCTTTTCAGTGTCTGCTTATCGTGTGCACTGAAAACACCGATTAGAATGATGGATTCCGTCGTCGGCACTTCGCACAGAGTATCTTCTGCTTTCTCCAGAAATATCTCAAATTCTCTCTCTCTCTCTCCAGATTGGTCGCATAGACCTGTAACAAGGTCAGAGCTTTAGTCTGTTGTAACTTCATTCGGAGGATTGCCACCCTTCCGCTGGCAGGCTTCCAATCAGTGATTCTATCAGCGTGGTTCGGTTCTACCAGAACCCCAACGCCGGCTTGAACGCACGTCGTGATATCGACAACTGAGTAGAATAGCTTCCACCTGCAGAGGTTCAGAATTCCAGAGCGTTGGCGTTTCATTGACGGGAGTCAAACGACATCGAATCGATATCTTTGGGTGTCCTCAGCTTGTTTCTGCAGTTTCCATCTGAATGAGGAAGGTGATGTTCCAATTTCCGACTTTGAGCTTTCACTGTCGGTATCGTTCCCGCGGAACTGTTTCTGACATGCTGTGTTGCTTCAGTTCAGAGCGGGATGCTGCTCCGCGTCTGACGGTACTTCCTCCTGGTCTTGTCGGTCTTCTGCAGACGTCGTTGTAATGCCACGCGCCCAGATTGCAGAAGGCAAAAGCAGTTTCCGATAGCTGATTTTTCGGAGTTTGCCTCGGTTCCTCCACAATCTGCGCGGCCTTTGATACTCCGAGTCACTACCGAACCGGTATAACCGTCGATAACAGCCATGCCATAGGGAGTGGGCTGTGTTGTGGGAGACCTCTTTATTCCATACCATGTTCTTTTCTCATTCGGGCTTGGGACCTGCAACAGACTAGTTTTTACCATTTAAAGTAGATGGAAAAATTTCACCCAGAGTGTGTTATTCAGACTCGACAGTCATTATTAACCTCGAAAATTTGTGTAAAATCATTTAGACGTCACTAAAACGAGAAAATCTTTGTA